TTTAGGTTTAGTAATTTACATCCTTTAATAAATTTGTTCATTTCATCTAAGTCGTTGAATTTATTGGCATAAAGTTCATAACAATATTCTTTTATTATCCTTTTAATATCTGTAGGATTGTCCTTATGTCTCACTTCATTTCTGATTTTGCTAATTTGTGTCTTTTTTTCTCATTAATCTGGATAGAGGTATATCGCTCTTACTGATCTTGTCAAAAAATGTTGTTTTATACATTTTATCCAGTTTTCTAGTTGCATAAAGAGGAGCTTAAGTCTGGTCCTGTCACTCCATTATGGCTTCAAGTCAAAGTGTCAGGGTGATCTCTTAAACTGCACACACCTTCAACGGCTTCCCTAGGTTCTTAAAAGCCCAAATCTTTGACTCACACGGCTTTGCAAGGCCTAGTGCCAGCTCTTTTGCTTTGTAGCCACATTAGCCTTTTAGTTCATTGAAAATCGGGTGTTTTCTCCTATCACAGGGATCTTAGTGAATGCTGTTACCCCTGTGCAGAACAATTCACCATGCTTTCATTCTCGTTAATATGTTTTTTTCAGATCTCAGCTTAAATCACATTCCTCAGGGTAGTCTCCCCTAAAACCCCAAATTAAATGTTACATGTTTTCATAGCTCCCTATTTTTTATTTCATATAATCATCACAATTCACAATTGCATTTATATTTTTAAGAGAGAAATTGTCTATTTTTGCTCCTTAGTGCATATTTTATGTCCAACACTTAAAACTCAATCCTTGGGATTAGGCACTAAAGTACTTGAGTGAAAAGATGCTCAGTTCACTAAGGATGTGGAACTTTTTCTCAATTCCTCTGCCTATATACAAGATTATCATATGAATTTAGTTACGTTGCAAAATACTTGGATCCTGCTGCAGTCTCTACTTAGAATTCTCAACCAGTAGACAGCAATTTTGCTTCAGGTTCTTAAATCTCCCAAGTTAATATTTTCTACAATCTCTTTTCTAATTCCTAGTTTCCTCTTTTCCTAAATTTTCCCAATGAGATTGACTTATAAATATTTACTTGAACCAAAAATCTCAAGGTTGAGGAAAATCTATAATGGAAGTAAATCCACTTACACAAAAATTTTGTGTAAGAATCACTTTTGATTAAGGAGAGATTGTTGTTTATCCACAACATTATGAGCTAAATAAGGCTTTACAACCTGCCTTGAAGTTCACTGGAAAAAGCTCCTAGTTTCAACATATTTATAAACAAACTTTTAGAACACAAACTATCCTTAAATATGAGTTATATTCTGTGACGCACATGGCTATTTTAATTTTCAGTTGTCAGCTTCTAAACATTTCTCTATTTAACATTTCATGGAGATAAGAACACTGTTATTTTTAAGATTAATAATTGTTCTCATTCTTAAAAGATTTTTAACACTTTTACATCTAAGCTTTTTGCTAGCTTTATTTCCAATTTAAAAAATTATCTTTCAAATTAGTGTTCTGAAATTCTTGAGGAAATGACTAAATGTTTTTAATCCATATTTTAATAAGTCATTTTTCTAAAAATGTATAAATATTTCTTTCCCCTTCGGAACTAGTATGAGCTAGAAAATGTTGAATGCAATAGTGAGAATAAAACTGTCTCTCTTAAGGAACAAATACACGATTCCCAAATGGCTATGATTTTTATATGTCTCTGTATTTCAAAGGGATGCCTTGGAAAGAGTGAAGGCTTACAGAGAGTGGTGGTAGTGTAAAATCAATACGTCTGTCTCATTTGACTCATTTTAAATAAACAACTCTATGTAGATAATACCATTTAAATTACCAGCACAGAACTTTAAAGGGAAGTGAAGGGGGGAATTAAAATCAAGATGTTGGTTGTAGATTATTCCATTTTACAATGGATGCCCCAATTTTTAAACAGTTGAATTGACACTATTGTATTTAGAAATAATCTTAATAATTTCATAGTTTACTCAATTTTTTCTTAGTTATATTTCAAAATATCTCATATATATGTATATGAATAAGAAAAGTTCAACTTTAGGAACAGAATTAATTAACTATTTTAGCTTTCAATGATTAAGATGATGTAAAAACCAGGAAAAACAATACTTTTGAAAAAACAGACTTCAAAAAATTCTGAAATTGAAACTTTTTCATCTGCTTGACTTCAACTTTGTAACACTAAAATGGAAAGTGCCCATATGCGTAGGAGTATGAGCCACCTACATCTACATTACCCACCCCAAAAGAAGAGAGAAAGGACAAAAATGTTATAAAACAAGGTTTATTCAGCAATACTTTATCATAATGAATTGCATCTCTTTGGTAAAAATAAACTTTATAAACATTTTAATAATCAGAGATTAGATACAAAAACTAAACATCTCTTGTTTTTAATATGAGCAAAGACTGGCAACTGAGAAGTGGTTCACTTGTGGCTGGTCATCTACTGGCAGTTTTAACTCAAACTCAGGGCAATTTTTATGCTACATTAGAAAAGAGGATAAAAGAAACAGTTTACTAAACTCAAATTTCTTGAATCAGAAAGCATTCTTACACTTTCATTTAAAAATAAATAATAGTTACAGTGAATTGGCAATTATACATTTTTATACACTATATGATGGCAACATAATACTTTAAAATTAAGCACTTAGTTTAATAAGAAATGTACAATTTTAAAAACAAATTTTGACAATGGCACTGGCAGTTAGATGCAAATGTGCTTTAAGAAAAAATGGCAGGTATAACATTAAAATACTTTTGTCTCTCAATAAATATTTTGACTACATCATTAACATATTGAAGTAAACTTTGTTTAAATCAAAGCTTACACATTGCAAACTAACAAAAAATTATAAAATATATGTAAACCAGAAAGCCTCAAAGTTTCTTTTAAACGCTATGGTCTTCACAAAAGGTTGTTGTTACTGTAGTACTTAAGACAGTAGTCTTTACAGCTTTGTGAAGTATTCACATTTGTTGCTTAAATTGCTGGGAAAGGCCTCATGGTCTACCAAGACACACACATTCCTTCCTTAACACTTGGTCTAGCTTTCAATTCATGCTAACATATTTAACTGACCATCTAGTATGAACCCTTTACATAATGCCTCAGAAAGTAGTAAAAGAAAAAATATATATATTCTAAACTTCACTATATACAAAGAAATCTAAGTTAAGAGAAGTCATGCTGGCTATAAGGAGGACAGGAAAGGCTCAAAGGTGGAAAATAGGTGATCCACCAACAATGAGTTTTTCCTTGAATACAAGTGATGTTTTCTTTCTCTGAATTTGAAAAGTAAAATATTAACTAATTTAGTAATATATTGCACAAATAAGTTTCAAAAATATATATTCAAGAAACACTGATTCTATCTGGGATGTGAAAGATGAAGATTAACTGTGCTGAGTCAAAACTTTTACTAGGGATCTCTTATAAACTGGAATTGGTTCTAACAATTTATATTGATGTAAGGCAATCTAGTGCTTAGTTTAAATCACAGTTTCAAAGTATGTTGGAAAATACATAACCTCTCCAGGATTGCCAAATTGTTTTTATTATAGTAAAATTTGTTATCAATATATTATTGGAAATACAATTTCCAGTCCATAGGACTTGAAATGACTTTCCTTAATTGGGGTGGTTATTAGCCATGTTTTTATCTCAACACACCTGAGGAATGGGATCATAATGTCTATGGAAGTAATGGGAGACCATAATTAAAAAGGTTCCTCCCCTTGAAAATAACTGCCTTGGTAAATCAGCAAATAGAAAGTGATGCACTGAATTCTGAACAAGAATTAAGTGTAAAATACCATGTAACTTCTTCCTGTTGGCTTTTAGTGCAAAAGTGTTTATTGTCCTTGCTAGTGATGAATATAAAGTAAACTTTTAAATTTGTGGTAAGAGTATATGAAGGAGAGAAAAATCAAGTTTAAAGAGTTATTGTTATTTATATCAAGACAAAATAATTTTTAAGATCTCTATTAGAACTGAGAACAAGTCTCCCCCTCCTTATCTTAGATCATTTTCCTTTACTTACAAAGAGTAATTATCTAATGGACAGAAACCAGAGAGAACATCTGTGGTAGAAAATTTCAGTAGAACAAAATAAACTAGAACCATATCATTGAAACAATGTTACTAAGGTCTATCAAGAGGGCCATGGTAAATAGCTTAAAAATATTGTTATTAAAATGCTTTTTATAATCTGTGTACTATTTATACTGTGGTAAAAGCAATATTTTGTGTTATAGTCACTGTCTACAGTAAAAACTGTTCACTTGGGTTAGCCATTTTCTGTAGCAGATGTGACACATATGAACAAAAAGTCCAAATACCACATCCTGCATACTTACGGACTATTTTCATTATCAACAAATTTAAAAATTACTATATTTCAACAGCACCAATTCTATTAATGTGGCTATCCAGGTTCAATTACAATTAACATGGAAACAGGACAGATGTTGCTATCCCTGGCTTAACATTTTGCCAACTGAAAAAGATGTTTTCGTTATGCTTCTCATCTGATAGTTTTGCCCAAATAAAATTCAGAAGTTAAAATTCAAAAGTTTCTTTTTTCTCTCAGAAAAAAATATCCTGGGCCGGTCCGTGGCCTAGTGGTTAAGTTTGGCATGCTCCACTTTGGCAGCCCAGGTTTGGTTCCCGGGGGCAGACCTACACCCCTTGTCAGTGGCCATGCTATGGCAGCGACCCACATATAAAACAGAGGACGACTGGCACAGATGTTGGCTCAGGGTGAATCTTCCTCAGCAAAAAAAAAAAAAAATCCAAGAAAATGCTTTATAGTTATAGAAACAGCTGAAAGTAACAAACCAAAATCATGAGCCTGTGTGTCTATGCATGTAAATATGTATATATGAAATTATCAGAAAAATGAAAATAAGGTCATTGTCCATGAAACAGTATGTAGCATGAGCTAAGACTGAACTTTTGGAAAGTTGCTTCCACCATTGTAAAAAAAATAAATGGAATGAATAAGTCTAGTTTTATTAGTATCCCTTGTTCTTTCTGAATAATACAAACTATACAAATACTAGGAAAAAATGTCTCATATAAGCAGATCTGTTCAAATACTTAAAACACCTTAATCAACGCACGTTTGGAACAGTAATATAAATTTTTTAGCATGGATTAATGGCACATAACATGTAGTACAGTGCCTCCTCAAAAGGGTGTATTGTATAAGATTTAATTTTATAAAAATTTTGAAATCCATGAAGGTACTTTGTCTCTATACTCTTGTTAAATACTTTTAAATTTAATTAAGTATACATCAAATTTAATTCATACAAAGCTTAGACAGAAGGCTTTCCCTAAAATGATCTACCTTTATTTATGATGACATAAGTAATAAGTACTCAAAATGTTTACATTAGATTATACTCCATTCCTACTACAAGATTCTCAGAACACAGTACATTTAACAAGCAAATGCAAGATTCTCTTATTGCAAAGGTGTGTCAAAATGGGTGTTAACTCCATCACACATTCTATGGCTATATCCTCTCATTTGATAGTTTCTACTCAACAAAGACAGCTAGTGGCTAAAATTTAAACATAGTTGCAAAGCACTAAGAGAAAGAACTAAAGGCCCCAATAAATGCTATGCAACATCTGGGAAGTAAAAAAAGTTCAAATATAATATTGTAATAAGAATTGGAGTGTTCTTAGATGAAATTACACCACAAAATGCCTTTTCTAAATCAGAATTCTTTGCTGCACAGTCACGTGCCACATAACATTTCAGTCAATGATGGACTACATACATATACAAGTGGTCCCATAAGATTAGTACCATATAGCCTAGGTGTGTAGCAGGCTATACCATCCAGGTTTGTGTAAGTAGACTCTATGTTTGCACAACAATGAAACGGGCTAATGATGCATTTTTCAGAATATATCCCCGTCATTAAGCAACACATGACTGTACTCTCTGCCTCTGTAACCAAAAGGAACTTTCTAGACATCTAGGATCTTTTTCAATTTATATTCAACTTTGGTCATGCTTCAACAAAAAATAATTAAAAACAAAAATTATGACAAGATAAAAAATCCAAATCTCTTCCTACTGGACTGCATGTGTCAGGAGAGAAGGATGCGAGAAAGACATCAGCGGAATTTTTAGCTGGATCAGCAACTATAGTTAATTACAGATTGGAAAAGAAAATGAAAAAAAGTTATGGAGTTGCCAATTCTTACATTTTTTAATGTAAAAGATTTTTCCTACAAGTTTAACACAGAGGCTGGGGATTTTTCTTATACAAAATTTTCAAATCTTGGAGACACTTATCACAAAAATTATGCTTTTAGGACTTCACAAATTTATGGTTGGGCATGATCCTAACATCAATTATTTAATAAAAATTAAACAAACAAAAATGTTTTGAAATAAACAATTAGCACCCCTCCCCCACCCTAAAAACAAAACAAGTCCATTATGGCTTTGATATCCCTTGTAAAGAATTAAGTAGAAGAATATTGCCACATTTTAAAATAATTTCACACTAACAGGTATTTCTATTTTTTCCGCTGCTTTTGATTTTGTGTTTTTGCAGTACTTATTAGGGAACCCAGACATGTACGAATTCCAGCAAGGTGGAGCAGAGATCCAGCTGCCTCTTTGAGCTCCTCATCAATTTCCTGACATGACTGTTTTCGCATCTTTTTGCCTGGCTGCCTTTTTTCAGAGGTATCTGCACAAGCCTGTGATGCATAGCCACTGTCTCCAAGAGGATCATCTTCATAATCAACATCTGTATCTTCTTCACTGTGAAATCCTTCACTGCCATCACTTCCCACATGGCTACTCTTTGGGATAAATTCATACACCTCATCCACAGAAGACAGGGAAGACACACTAGACCTGGATGCACAACGCTGTGCTGCCATGCTACTTGCACTGTAATTGTGGTCTTCTTTTGGATCAATGCTAGTGGCTAAAGAATCACTTTCTTGTAACCGCACAGCACCGGGATGATTAAATGCATTGCCGTAACTCCTCTTTTTTTGCATTGCTGTTTTAAGAGGAAGAGGCTTCTCACCTGTGGAAAACACAACTTCCATCAATAGGTCAAATGCATGTGATTGCAAAAACAGGCCATTGAAAACTACTATATCACTTCTGACTAAGTGCTGTAGATTAGTAATGTTGTAGGTTTTTTTTTTCATGCAGACCATATCATCCTATAGGTATTAATCTGAAACATTTTTAACATTTTTAAATTTAATGACATGTCTTGACCTTTCCATGGAAAACATAATTTTTATTTTACATAAATTTTTTATTTATATCCTACAGTGTATGACAATACCCAGTTCCCATACATAACACCTCATATTATCAATTATTTTAATTTTTCATAATCTCATGGACAAAAAAATAGTATCTCAATATTGTTTCATTTTGCATTTCCCTGATTTCTAGAGAAGCTGCATATCTTTTCAAGTGTGTGTTATCCATATATATTTCCTCCTCTGAGACTCACCTATTCACATATTTTGCTGGCTCTTCTGTTGAACTGTTTTCTTATTTCTTACTTGTAGGATCCTTTTATATACATGAGTATATGTATTAACATTAATCCTTTGTTATATATAGTAAAAAAATACGTTCTCCTAGTGTTTTGCTTGTGTTACTTTTCTTAAACATATCTTTTGTTGTCAGAACTCTAAAATTTTGAAGTTCAAATTTACCCATCTTTTCTTTTATGGATTTTACACGTTGTATCTTAAAGAAGGCTTTTCCTATTCCATGGTTATACTTTCCCATACTTTGATTTTAGCTTTCATTTTTACTTTTAAATCTTCAAGCTTAATTTCTAAATATGCTCTTTATTTCTTCATTTCTTGGTCAATGTAAAAAGGTCTATCACGGCATTAACCTCACTCTCTCAACTGCTCACACAAACTAATGGAAATATAATAAAACAAAAACTAAGTAATTCAGATGAAAACAAAATTTAGCTGGAAAGGAGAAACTTTGCCTGTAACATTTAAATATTTTGCATTTTAAATTACATTTGAAAAGGTACTCACAAAAATGTATTTTAAAAAGAAAAGCATGATTGCTTACATTCTAAAATTCCTTGTTCTATAGAAGTATTTAAAAGCATCATTGCAGTGGCAGCATCAATATCAGATTCTGAAAAAGGAACAGTGTGACAATATTAATGTTCTTTATAACACAGAGGCTATTATAAGTATCTGCATGCACCTAAAGGTAACCAATGTTAAGATTTTGGCATATATTCGTCTATTTAAAAAATATTTATATATATATATTAAACAAAATGAGACATGATTTTGCAATTTGCTTTTGTTCACTTAAAATTATGAACCGTTTTGTATAAAGGAGAATTGAGAGGTACTAGAGATAATAAAAGTTCTCTTCTTTGATTATTCACAATGAAAATATAAACCTGAACTGCATTTCAATACGGTTTGCCCCTAAATTAGCTAAGAATGTACACTAAGGCATTATTACTTTTTAGCGTTTTAAAAATATCCTTACCTATGCATGCATATCTGCAGTTATGAAGTACTGCATTAATTACATGCTAGTTACAGGGGATAAAAATATATGTAATTAGTATAAGTCCAGATCATGTGACTATATACAGTAAATGCTAAATTAATAATTATTGCTGGGACAAAAATATTAGTAATGTCTTTGGTTATAATTATATACAAGCCTACAAGTACTACAGAACTCAAACATAATTATGGGTATTCCATAAGAAAAATAGATTTTAAAAGGCTGGTAAAATCAGCAGGTTCTACTCCAGATAAGGTCATTACGCTCTTCTATCTAGTTTTTTACTCCAAGTTCCTCTCCATCTTGGTGATCTATTAGTCTGAATGACTATAATAGAATAAAAGTGAAATGTTATAATCTAAAATGTGTAGGAAAAGTTAGAAAATGCTTATAAATTTTAGATTACAAAGGATAAGTTTAAAATAAGACTCAGATATGAAAACTCTCATTCCTATCGCAAAGCTGGAAAATTTTTATTCCCCTAAAGTTTTCCATTTTACTTGTAGTATCTAATTATGAAGTTATTTTAGATAATAAAGCCATGAAGATATTGACTTGTTTTCTCCCCAGCTTGACCACAAACTCTGTGAAAGCAGGAAATCTTACTGTTATTGACTTTAATAAACAGGCTTAAGTAAATCAGAAGATGGTTGCTATGAGGGAGCACATAATATTAAAGCTCTTTTCCCTTAAATAAAATGTGACTTCATGAAACAGAGTCTACATGAATGTCTTCCCAATTAGACTGTCAGCTTCTTTACAGTAGGAACCATGTCTTATCCTCTATGTTCCATAATGCCTGGAACAATAGTAGGTCCTTGATAAATGTGTAAAGAATAAGTATATTACATCTCTGTCCTCCTCCTTTCCTTAGACTAAGCTGATTATGACCAAATTACTAACATTGAGTACTTTCAATTGGCTTGGCAAGTTCTAAGTATTATTAACTCATCTAATCCTCACACCTTTATGATGTGGGTATTATCAGTATTTCCATCTTAAAGATGAAAAAATAGACACAGAGGGATCTCTAGGAATGATAGACATGGGATTTGAACCTCAGTAGTCTACCTCCAGAACCCACGCCTTCAATTTGTACTCTATCATCATCCCTTAATACTTACTAAGCATCCATGATTAGAGTAGGAAATTTTGCAGAAAATTACAGAATATACTGGAAATTCTCTATTCTGTTATTCATTCAGTAAATTGAGTTTTCTGTTATGAGCCTCACATCATTTCAGGCTGTGGGCACAACTTGCACGGCATTATGCAAAAGCCCTAACAGAGAGATTCCTGCTTCATGAAATAATTTTTCTTTCAATAGAAAAAGGTCTAAAATGTTTTCAATTTTATTTAAAAAAGTGAGGTAGTGGTGAGAGAGAGAATCTAACACTGAAACGCATTATAATAAGGAAAAATTTTCAGGAAATTTATAATCTTATAAATGAAGCACCTACAAAACCTTCTTATTAAAAAATTCAAGGAGTCATATTTTATCCTGATAACATAAGAAAGCTGCATGAACACCATTTCTTTTCTTAGTTTCTGAATATTGAAAATGATAACAAAATTAGGTACTGTTTCTATAACAGTAGAATGATAGGAAAAGTGTTCTCTGAATACATTTATTTCTTATAGAGAATTTATTATAGCCAAATTAATTCGAACTCTCCCGCATGAAATTAACTTTACGAAACCAAAAACTTCTTTGCAAAAGGATTTTATCTACATCTGATTTGTTTGGTTTAGAACATTTGCAAGTATGCTTCCCACAATGCCTTGCCAATTAACTCTGAAAAAAAGTTTAACTTCAACATTAAAATATGCATTAGAGAGATGACCCAAAACACTTGGTAATCAAGAACACCTGATTATCAATGATTTCTCCAAGGTACAATCTTGCACTTCTTGGAACAAGAACAACAAACACTCTCTGTTGTAGACTTTACAACTTTTATTTATAGTATCCAATCTGTTTTGGTATTAAAATTAAACTGAAGACTTATTTATTTATTCTCACAACTGAAAACACTTCATAATGTTATCTTTTCATTGCTAAGTACTTTACGCTATTTTAAAGGTGGCTCTTTGTTTTTAAAAAACATACTATTAGCTATATTATCTAACATACCTAGTTCACAAAGAATGAAAATTTGGTTCTTTCTGTAAGGTCTTTTGTATGTATTTTCTCTGACAGAATTTAGATTAGGCAAATAACTCACTTCCAGCTGAAAGTCACTGTCAAAGAGCCATGAGAGCTATCCAAATAGTAATTAAAAAAAAAACAGTTCAAAGTCATATAATTTTTCTGTTTATCCTTCATAGTTCTGACTAGAGTTCAAAATAAGGTACTGATTTAATAACTTGTTCAAATAAATTTCTGTCAAAAGTGTTAAATTTGTACCTCCTGGTTTATACTTCCTTAGCCCTGATGCTGAGAAATTATCAACAATAATTGAGAAAAAAATTAAAAGATACCAGTTTTAGCCTTGTGAAAGTGACGGTTATAAGACAAACTAACAAGTTTCTGGGGGCTGGACTGGTGGTGTAGTGGTTAAGTTCGCGCACTCTGCTTCAGCGGCCAGTTCGGATCCTGGGTGCAGACCTAGTCACCGCCATCAAGCCATGCTGAGGTGGCATCCCACATAGAAGAGCTACAACTCTACAACTATGATACACAACTATGTACTGGGGCTTTGGGGAGAAAAAAGAAAAAGAGCAAGATTGGCAACAGATGTTAGCGCAGGGCCAATCTTAAAGAAAGTTTCTGTTATCTGGTTCTCAGTCCATTTGCTTGAGGAATAATATGAGAATTGTAGAGGCAGAATTTAAATGGTTATAAGCTCGGTAATAACTATAAGAAGATTTATTACCTCTGTCAAAACATACACATTTACAGAGCATCCAAACAGAGAAGTCGTCTCTTGCGATTCTTTAAAGAAGTAGGAGAGCAATTTCAATAAATTACCAGTACTTTAAGGCGCCTGGACCACCAGGTTACTTTCATCTCAATTAAGATACAGATTATGCTAATTTTGCAACCTTGAATTTGAACTTAGATTTGCACTTAGCCCCTAACATCAATAACTCTCTAAATTTGATATATGCTTGTAGTATACTAGTGCTTAAGTATAAATACTTAATAATACAGTATGTAAGTATAAACACTAAAATTTACTAAATAGAATGTGAGTTCCATTTTTGTCTTCTTTGTTCACTGATGTTATCCTTGGTGCCCTGAACAGTGCCTAGCACACAAGTGTGCTCAATAAATATTTTCAAACAGATGAATTTACACCAAATCCACATCAAATCAAAATATTGACAAAAAAAAAGGTTCTGTTTTGCTATCTCAATATGAGATTCCTGTGCCTCCTGCTACCTGTTACACAATACTGTAATGTAGATATTGGCACATAAAATTAGTCATTGTAAGGTGAGCAAGAGAGACAACTACAGAAACTGCTGCACCTGTTCTGGCTGATAGTGGTTCTGGCGTTCCTAAGCTTAACTTCTCCTGTTACTCTTATGTGTCTCAAGGTAACTCTAATATAACGATTAATAAAGATGAATCTAATATTGGATTCTAATACTGGAGGCCAACAATGACACCTAAGTGATCTTAGCAAAATACAAAACCAACAGTGTTGTCTCATTCTTTAAAGCCCTTCAGCAGCTCCCCCAATGCCTCATATCTGGTAGGAGTGGAGACTCTGAAATCAGAGTTCCTCAGTTTCCTCCACACCATTTACTAGTTGTGTGACCTTGAGAAAGTTACTTAATCTCTCCAAACTTCAGTTTCCTAATTTGTGAAAGAAGGTAACGATACCTCAAAGAGTTGTTGTAAAGATTAAATGAGATAATGCATGGAAAGCACCATAGTAAAGAACTCAATGCTAACTAGTGCTATGTTATAGGAAGAAGTTCAAACTCATTACGCTAAATAAGCTCTCCTTGATTTGGTTAATGCCTGCTTAAACAACTTCTTCATTTGCCTTGCCCATGCTAAATGATCACGTTTATAGCTAGTGGACCAAGGCTCCTTGGTCCTCTTCTATACTCCTAGGCTTCAGCCATACTCATCAACCTGCAGTTTCCAGCAACTGCCCTCCACCAAACCTCTACCCAAGGTCAAGTATCCTCCCAATTTTGAGCCCCACCTCAAGCATCACACTTTCTTCTCTAAGAGCCTTTCCTGACCTACCTCTAAGCTTAATTCGCTACTCACTTCCTTTTCCCCCAGTGTACTTGGCATAATTCTAGTCAACTTTCTTCAATTAATTGTATATTTTCTGAGAGCAGGACCTGGGTCTCTTTCATCTGTGAATATCCTAAGGCATCCACTAAAGTGTTTGGCACTATGTAGGAACTCAACAATTACTTGTAGAATAAACAGCTGGATGTTTAATCCATTTAGTGTTGTGTTTTTCAAACTTTTCCCTAGAAATAATATCAAGAGAGAAGAAAAAGCAAATTTCCTCAGAAGTCTATGAATACACCCTAAAGCAACCTGATTTAAATATAAATTTTCTGAAGTTTTTGTGTGCTGTTATATTTTTCTTTTAAAATTCATGAGCATTTTGTATTCTATTCCAGGACAGACTTGCATTTGTTTTAACTTAGAATACCACCCATCCTCCCCACCAAGTTAATTATTACTAGGAGAACAGGTCTAAGACTCACAAATATAGAGGTGGCGGGAAGTAAGGTGTTAGCAGCACTGGAGAGATGATGCATAATATGTATAAGTCATTAGATGGAGGAGAAGTACCTATGCTCTAGTTATGAAAAACTGTGGTTGAAACTAGCAGGAGAAAATTGTGAAGTGTCTGCTCCCCAAAGGAAGAGGCAGAATTTGGATGGAATGGAATAAGAGCAAGAAAAGATTCTAAATAAACCCCAAAATTCACAAAGAAAATGTTCTCAAAATGTGTATATGAACTGAGCTTGAAAGAATAAGGGTCAGAACTTACTGAGGTAATAAAAAAATAAAGGAAGTTTCAGCAGCATCTAAATGTAAAGAGAAACCACATTTACCCACACAGGTAACAGGAAAATGGATACTTGCCTTATGTTAAGCTAGAACATTACCAGAAGCAGACTCCCAATCTGCTTAACTTCTTTGCAGAGTTGTTAAGCTTTTTCATACTCTTTCTCTCCCTTATTTTTATAGACATCATCATACTGCTTCCTAGGCTCGACTTAATGTAGTTCCAAAGAGTCAAAATAATTCTGATATACAGAAAGGCTTTTAGTCTGCGGATTTCTATTTTTAAAGGCCATAAAAATGTCTCTAGGCTCCAAAGCAACAATGCTAGAAAATTTTATGTTAATCCATCACTAATCTGTAATATTAACTATGAGTAAAGAAAAAACCCACTAACTCAGAATTTTAATATACTTTAAAAAAGAAGTCTACAAAATTCTAGAAGTTAACTTATGCCTTCTTAAATTAGTTCTTTACACTTAACCTATTAAAAAAATTCTGAATTATATTCTAATCCAGGAGTTGGCAAACTTCTTCTATAAAGGGTCAGTAAGTAAATATTTTAGGCTTTGCGGGCCAAGAGGCAAAACCAAGGACACAATACAGAGGTCTCTGTTGCCACTACTTAACTCTGATGTTGTAGCAAATTTTCACATGCCTCGAAATATTATTTTTATTTTTTTCAACCATTTACAAATGTAAAACCATCTCTAACTCATAGGCATACAAAAACAGGTGGCAGGCCAGATATGGGCCATAGTTTGCCAAGCTCTGTTCTAGTCTAAGACAGACCTGAAAAGGTAACTCTCTACTGATGGCAGTACTAAGAATTATTCCTATTTTCAAGGAAAAATACACACAAAAGGAAATGAAAAAAGGGATATACAACAGTATACATGGTATGAGCCCAGTATTTGGAGGAAAAGTGTGTGTGTCTGTGTGTGTGTGTGTTTGTGTATGCATGCAAACATAGCTATTCATGTACAAGGCTTAAAAAGGACCAAAGCAATTATATCAAAATGTTAACAGTAGTATAAAGGGTAGGTTTTAGTTTCTCTTTTATAAATGTTTTTATTTTCCAAATCTTCTATAATGAACGTATAATACTTTTCAAATTAGAAAAAAATAAAAAAAATTCCTGATATTTGACCTGAGTTTTTATGATTTAAAATACTGATCTTACACATACCTTTAAGGGTTCGCACCTGGTCTTGCTTGAGTACAGAGCTTAAGTAATGAGGTGATAAAGAGCCACTGAAAAATAGAGATAAGACAAATGTGCTTATAAAAATCTTTATTTCGATTTTTACAGAACTTAGTTACAAATACAACTAATTTGTACAATAAAAAACACAAACTATTTTTACCTTGTTTTCTTTGCTAATACTATTCAGTTTAGGAAGAGTCTGCCAAAGCAGAAAGAGCATAAGATCCAAGATTAAATCACAACTATTTGGACGTTCTTAGGCAAAATAATTAATCTCTTAGTTTCTTCATCTGTAAAATAGGAATAATTAAACCTCCCACATAGGGTTGCTGTGATGATTAAATAAGAATAAAGCATTTAAAATGCCTGGAACAATAGACAATACATAATAGTTACTATTTGGTTTTTTAGTGGATACTTAAGTTTGATATGCTATTAATACAGGTATTATCACATAAATGAAAGGGTTTATCAAAACAAATGTTTAAAGAGGACTGCAGGGTAATGATGCAAAACAGATAAGTTCCTGATTTTATTAATAAATATCAATATCAAATTAATCTTTCTATACTCATGAAAAAGACCAGCAGTTTTTTTTTTTTAATTTCAAAAATTAAAACACTTTTGGAACAAACTTCTTCTGTTCTTTGGAATTTGTGATAGTATAAAAATATCTGTTTTGCTAACTAAATTAAAAGTCTATTTCCTAGTCACAGTTTTACATACACTACATCTCATTCTCTTCCTCAGACTTACCAACTATGACATGAAAGGGCTACACAAAGGCACGTCAGATGGAACTGTCATTTTGCCAAACAATGAAAAAGAGAAAATGTTTCTAAAAATATTAAGGTAACGTTTTAAAGTCAAAGATTATAACCTTTATGCTGTCGCCGTTTTAGCTACCTGTTTGTTTGTTTGTTTGTTTTTGTTTTTTTTTTTGTGAGGAAGATCAGCCCTGAGCTAACATCCATGCCAATCCTCCTCTTTTTGCTGAGGAAGACTGGCCCTGGGCTAATATCTGTGC